CGACCCGCTAAATCAGCTAAGAAACCTCGCAGTACATCGTTGCTATTTAAAGGAAAGACACTTCAGCATGTGAAATAGATGTCGAACAGCAGAAACTACTCAGATAGTTATTTTTCGAGGCTAATCCAGCGCCATGTGATTGCCAGAAAATGGCGATAGTACCTGCTGCCACACTTGTGAAGGCTTTCCATGTTTAGCGGGCATTTGAATCCAGTGCGAAAAACACTCACTGCATGATTGCCGATGGCTAAATAAGCGTGGACGAACCGCACTATTGCGGCGCCGACGACTAATAGAGGTTGGTTTATGTTTCTGTTACTGGCTTCAAAACGTTCGTTGGGGCTGTTTTTATTTAAACAATATTTCACAGATACAGAGTTACAAAGGTACCCTTGTTTTGTGCTAACCACGGTATCTTATTTTATTGCTATACCTTGCAGCCACTCCTCGCGTGACCCTGTCCGCAATGCCGCAGGCCAACAAAGAAATCTTTTAGACAGCATCATTATTTAGAAGTTGTTGAGTTAAATGTGTGATTGTGTTTACCTCGCGCTCCAGATTACGAACGAAGCGCTATATTTTTCTATTCACGTTGGTATCCGTTGCATCGACGTTGAAAGTAAGGCAACCTGATAGCCAAATTCATATTATCGTATGTTCTTCGAATCTTCACTCGTCGTGATTCTTGCTGCTTCAGTATGCAAGTTTCGCTTTGACCGCTTTAACAACCGTCGTGTCTTTCTTTTAATTGATATTTTACTGGTAACATTATAGCAATCACTATTATTTTACTAGCATCTGTACGCTACGTATACATGCTGTACTAGGCGTTTGCAGGGGCTGTAACCCTCCATTTCGGCTTGTTTTACAGTAGAACTAAACAGCTGATGATAGAGCACTCTCGCTAGAAGTCCCCTATTCAATGACGTGTCTAAATCCACTACATTGTGGTGAAGCTATGGTTTGGACGGCCAAGCTTCTCATCGAGCCAATCCACGAAGTCGCCGCTTCTGTATTAAATAGGGTCTTCAAGGTAGCGTGGTTCCTCATGACAGAAGACCCCTGACCCGACTTGCGAGGTCAAAAATAACCGATTGTATCCGGAGAGGCATGATTCTAGAATGAATGAGAACTCGGCTGCCCCTTTTCGACAAGGGCAGAAGGCAGCGCGGTCTTAGTGTTCGGTACATACTTTTTACAATAAAGAAATACTTGTTGTTCTCTAGCATCGACCTTGCCTTTGCTTCCACTCGCATTGCCCTAGATAGTTTTAGCAGGAAACACTAATGTCCACTTCAAGATTCAAATCCAGAAATTACTGACTTCAGTGAACGGATACACAACACACTATATATATACTGGCCGTATGTTTATTTTTATTCTAAATACAATTTTAACGATACGTCTGCACGTATGAGGATCGGTGAGAGTCAGCTCAAAATCACATCGAGATAATTAAATTGTTTCTTTCTATTTCACTTCAGCTCGTGAAGAGATCTTATCCCGTCAAATTAAGACGTAACGACTGTTGTCGATGGCAGATGCAACCGGTAGAGTGAGCGGAGACAAAATCTATGTGTTTTATCTTAACGCTCATCATTTTCACTAACGCCTAAATAGAATGTTTCATAGAAAATTAATTCGGTGTAAAATCTTGTTCTACTACGATCATAACTACGATCAATTAAACGGTTAGCAAGACTAAATTAGTGGGCAATGAATGAGAGAAAAAGGTTTATTCAGAGAGCCCCGTTTGCAGAACCGTACAACCGATAACCCTAGGTAATATAAGCTCGCCTTTTTTCCTGACGGATGGCACCGCCAGTCTCTCGATTACCATGGCGGGGGGTTGATATCTGTCCGACAGTCACAAGCAAAGCAAGCTCATTTTTCCGCTATCTTTTACATTAATCACCAGCGACTTCTAGTGGAATAGCTACATTTTGGCTGTACCAGAGTATCCGCTTGCACATAAAGGTTTCACTCTGTGTTGGTAAAATGGTAAGAAGGATGATGATTATAAATCACAAAGAAGACGGGAGAGCAAAGAAGTTCACTCTTCTCTCTCTCAGGGAAGCACCATTATAACGATAAATTCATTGCCCACTAAAGTTAACCTAAAGGCCAACAGAGGAAGTTGTGAATTTCATAAACTGTTAGTGTTATCTGAAATTCCTGCTGTAAAAGTTTGCCGTTTGTTACCTTGGGTACTTTAACTGCACAAGTTCCTGCGCGTCACATCTCTGCTTTTTTAGTGTTAACAACCCTTTCGTGTCAATTATATCGGACGACGATGTCTTTCTTTTTCGTTTATCATACATATTCGTTTTTGGACTATACCAAAAAAAGCTGTTATCAATTGTTCCAGTTTAGCGTGGAATGATGAATAGTGCGGGAATACATAAAATCAGAATAAACGCTTACTGCGCAATAAAATCAGCATATTTCCATTTTTTATTTTA